AATACGTGATAAAATTAACTACTAAGTAGCCAAAAATTGCTGAAATAAATGTTATAATGCAATTTTAACAACCAGTTTGCTGAGCTAAAAATATTTTAGGAACCGGTTCTACTACAATGGAATCTAGCTGAATCCTATCACAAACTGTGATCCTGTTCTTTCATAAACAAATTCTACTGATGATTATAAGAGCTATTAATCCGAGGGCTTAATGTTTATTGGAACTGAACAGAACAGAAAATATATCTGATATTTTTAGCGATAAAGACTTACATGAATTAAATTGAATAGATAAATAAAACTTTTTTTTTTAAATACAAAATTCTGACTCCTTTACTTCATAAAATTTTTCAGAAATGCTTTACTTGTAATAATGTACGTCTCTATAATTCAAGATTTTCAGCATTTGAAACCATTAAAGAAATCTCAGAAAATATGAATAATGCATTGTCAAAGGACATTTCAAAATTAACATAACTAAATTAATGCATAGAATATATATCATTACTTATGCCATTTTATATATTAAAATTATGAATATTTGTCAGAACTTTGCATAATTATCAGATACTGCAATTTCTGGTTGAGCATATCTCTATTCATTTTTTTTTCCCAAATATTTCAATTCTTTCCCACACAAGCGGCTATTTACATAGTTTCATGTAAGTTCCCTCCCCAGAAGAAGGTAACTGGTGAAAAACTGTCTTTAAAATTTGTGAAAGAAACATTACAAATTGAACTAAATAGTAAGAAGAAAGTTAACTCTATTATGATTAATTGTTGAAACTAATTCCAAAGATAAATGTATTAAGCTATTAACAAAATAAAAATGTTTCAGAGAGAGATGATTCAATCCATTCAAGCATTTGTGTTCAAAATCATTACAAAGAAGGAATTTTATAGCAGTACATACATTTAAAACAAATTAAGCCATATCAGCTGAAGATGCAATGTGATTCTGAGCCCTAAGAGACAATTTTTCTACATACGACTCAATAAACATTAATTACTGAAAGTTGATAAAATTCAACTAGTACTAATCACTATGTTTAACTAAAAAAAATTAAACCTGGAGCAAGGATACAGCAAAAACTGAATAGAAATGAGTAGAATTTTCGCCTGTTAACTAACTGTTGGAAGTATAGCAATTATTGGACGGAATAACAGGAAACGGTCTTGAAGGGTAAATTCTTTGTTTGGCTACATTATCTTTTGCTGCTATTTACACCTCACTAGATAACTTTTTCCTTCTTGTAGGTTTATTGTTCTTCACTTGTAAAACATTTTTACATAATTTTGCATTAGATTTCATTATTTAATTAAAATGCTTTTAATTAAATGCTAATTGAATTCAGAAGGAATAAATAATTAAAACATTTTAACTAACACAGAAATTACATGATTCATTTTAAAAGTACAAATATAAAATTAATCAAAAGACTTAAAAAAGAAGTGATAAAAGCTATAAGTTAGCATGTTTAAGAGACTGGGATTCAATTGCAATCACTTATTTTTAAATTAGTGTAGCATTCAAAAATGAAATGTGAATCATATTTAGAAGCATGAATTAAGTTCCTAAAGCTTATGAATTCAAACTTCATTTCAGACAAAATAATAACACTAGCAATTTATTTTAAAACAAAGTAATATTCCATTCGAACTGATTAGAATTTTTATTGAAAAAAGTATACGTTCAAAGATTAATTAGAGTTATTACGTTTATTAATTTATTTCCTACTTTGAACAGTGCCCAACTTCATGTAAATTTTAATGCAATAATATATTAATAAAAATCAAAATACAACGGAAGTTAATGAAAATACTATGGGCTCTTGTACTAAGCAATGGGCTCTTCAAAGTCAGTTTTTAACTATATGCCATCAGAAATCTGCATATGCTTTGCTATCAGGGAAAGGGACAGGCAAAAACAGTCAAAAGTCATTAATCGGGACTCGTCGGGACTTCGGCGATTTCGGATTATAGATCATCAGTTTAAATCTGGTAAGATGGCATGCAGAAATTATAAAATTAAAAATATGAAACCGTAATTTATGAAATAAAGAACAATTATGATCTAAAGGGTAGCAAAATTTACAAAAAGTAAAAGCTTAATATTTATTTGTTTACTTTATTAAACATTTTTTTCAATGTAAGTTGCATCGTTTCATGTGATAATACTTTCTCTTTAATTCTATTAAACAGACATAATTTCTTGTTTAGTTACAAAGTTCCACTGTTCAAGTCCTATAATTGCTGTTCTTCACTATCGGAAGCGAATTATAATGACGAGGAACTTGATTTATATCATATCAAAGACGGAGTACATCGAGATGAAATACTACATTTAGTAAGGAATTATAAGCCAAATAAAATAAAAAATTTGCCCTGAAGATAAGGATAGTGCTGACAGATCAACTTCCAATTCATTGCGCGCCGCATTGTTTCCCTCCCACCGCAGAGCAGCGTGAAATTGATAAACATATTTTGGAATGATTACATAATCAAAGGATATACCTTTATCCATTTTTTGCAGCAATTCCACTTTCTGTTTAATGGACTTCGAAGCATACTTTCGCGTTGTAGATCCTTTACATATTAGCAAATATATATCAGAAATTCTATTTGACATAATCGAAAGTTCAAGCTAACTTTTATAAAATTGCTCTAACAGTCTGCAAAAAATAATAAGCCAGATCCAATTCGAAGATTAAGGATCAAGGCAATCTGCAACATAAACTGAAATAGATAATTAGATAATTTTAGCTTAGCTTATACCATCTGTTATACATTAAACGCGCATCCGTAAATGTGTTATGCACATGCGCACACGCATATTCGCAGCCGTAAAGGTCTTATGTGCACGCCTAAACGCCTATGCGCATGCGTCAATCCGATGCACGGGAAGAAAGTTTGTAGCTTTGAGTTCCAGATTATGGGTGTCCGAATTAATGACTTTTGACTGTATACTAAATTTTGTGAACTTTATCACTGGATGCAGAAAAGGGCATCATGGCGAAGTCCCCAGACCAATACTTTGCAACCACTGAAATAACACTGCAAATTACAGACCAAAATTCTGTTTTCCAAAAGTGAAAGTCCTTTACTACCTTTCATTTGACTAAGTTGCCACATATTTATTTAAAAGTTGCAGTTTTTCCCAAAGTTTCGATGAATAAGCTTGGTGTTTAATAATGAATTTTTATTCCATTAAAATAAGTACAGATACAGGATAAAATTTTAATACTACTTATTTTACTATTTGATTTGATCACTGAATAAAAGTGAGTTTACAAAAGCTTAAAAAAATTTAAACTGCTATTGCATTGATTTAATTCATTATTCAACTATGACTCTATCACAGAAAACAAATCTTTAATACTAAATAATTAAATATAAAAATAAGATGATTCCTGAATATAACAATTTTAATTATCATGTACGAATTCACAATCAGAAATTTTAAGATGAAATCAATGAAATTTATATGATTTTTTTTTTTTTTTAAATATATTTACTGTTTTAAAATTATCTCTACAAACTGTTATTAAAATATAACATACCTTTAAAAATGTGAAACTATTTAATTAAACTGCTTCAATATTAAAAAAAATAATAAAGAAACAAATTGAGAATTTCGAATGAGACTGTAAATAACCACACTTTTGTATCAAAACAACTGCTTGTTTCTTTTGAATAATTTTACCTGCTCAGATAAATAAAATCTGAAATTTTACTTTTGATTATGGAACACAATATATAATTAAAAAAGTTATTTAATGTTCAGATGAAACATAAAATGCTTATTAACACTTTGAATGCCCTGTTAACCATATATGGGTAACTCATAACATTCCAAAAATGCCTGTCACCATTCACGGGTGATAATTCAAGTGCTTAAGTGGATAAGCAGGTTAATCTGGGTTCATATCCCAGCAAACTGGCTGATGCCATTGACATTTTTGTAGTTTTTCCTATGTATATGACTATGAGATAGTTTACCTAATTATCTTTATATTAATTCTGAATACACAAAATTACTTAAAATAATTTACACAAAAAATTATTTTAAGGTCGTCTGTAACTACAAGAAACGTGGAAAAATCAGTAAGACAAAGCTTGTGAGTTTCTTCTCCTGATAATAAAAATTATCTTAGACTAAGAAAAGACAAAATAATCAAGTAGTAGAGATTGTCTAATAGGTTTAAATAATAAAAAGTAGAATCAGCATCTAAAAGAACAGATACTGTTATTTGTTCTTTACCCAACTAAGTGTAGTTGCATGAAGGATAAATGCCACTTTTTAAAAATCAAGTGCAATTGTTTTGAATATATATTCTAATTCCAGTGGTTCGAAGATGACTGGTATGTTTGCACGTTTTCTTTTTTCCTTTTCATGATCTATTTTAATTTTATATGACATTTTGTTGCAAATTAAGTTGATCTAGGCAGTTTGAACTTGAGTATTTTCTTTTAAAAAAATTACTTTCAGCTTTTACAAAACTTCATTTTTTTCGCTTTTTAAAGAAACTGCATTTGTTCTTGCAATTATTATTAAGAGAATTTTAGGGCATTGCTAAGAATAAATTTTAAAGCAACTTTTTCAATTTAATTTCATTAATTCTTGGGAAGTTTTCTTTTAAGTATTTTATAAAATCTTCGTAGCTATCAGCAGCTTCTTTTGTATCATTTTAATCCTTTTAGTATAAATTCGAGCATTCTCAGCAGCTTTTTATTAAGAGATTTTCTGGTTATTTTGATTCGGATAAAAGCTAATTTAATACGCATTCGAGCCGTCCTTGGTTTAGATTTTAAATACTGACCACATTAATTTGTTGCTTGTTTTGATCAGGATTTCCCCTAGTTGTATATGATTGTAATTAGTTTGTTTGGCTTTTTTAGCTTTTTTTTCACATTTTAGTTTTTTAGGTTCCTGCCTAATAAAATTTGTTTCAGTTTTTATTTGTATCTTTATATGTAATTTATTTTTTTTTTTTTGTGTGTGTGTGTGTGTGTGTGTGTATGTGTGTGTGTGTTTCTACTTATGTATTGTAATTTTGTTGCATAAAGCGTTGCGGATGCATGTAAGGAAAAGGTTTGAACACTTGAGATCCACTGAAAGTTAATTTAAATTGAAAATTTGTTTTGAAAATAACGGCTTTGAAACTAAAATGTTTCAGAGGAATTAAACATGCATTTCGAACTCATTAATCAAATTGGCTTAGGGCTTTAAAACACTTTTCTCTTGATAAGATCTGTTTGAAGATCTGATCTCTTGATAAGATCTGAGGAGATGAATACTTCATTTTTGTTTCTTATTTTATTGTGTAATATTTTCAGTATGGTATCAATATCTGTAGTTTAAATTTTACTAGTACAACATTTAGGTTTCTTAAAAACTTTCTTAAAAAAAAAAAAAAAAAATTAGAGCCTTCATAAAAAAGAAATTGTAAACTTTCATTTAAGCTCAGACTTTTCCTATTATTTTAATAATTATATATATATATATAAATCCTGCCAGCAATGCCCCAAAACCAGAATTTTCAATTTTGTTTTTTAAAAATTTAATTTATACATCATAATGCACGCATGAATTAACTATTTCAGATGATTAAGAAACTTCATTATTAAAAAGAAAAAAAATTAAATGCTGCTGATTTTACACTGCAAAAGAAAAAGGTCAGCTGAAGAAGACTGAAAAGACTGCATTTTTCTTCTTTTCTTTTCAAATTCAGATTTTCATTAAAATAAACATGACAATAAAAACAGATGTAACCTAGTGAGTAAAACTGCAAAACTAAATATATAATTTCTAAATACATTATTTAATAAAGTATTTAAAAAAATCTGTTTGTTTATTTTACAACTATTCTTATACTCAACCAATTTAAAGAATGTATTTTTGTTAAAAAAACATGCTGCCTCAGTTTCTTCCTTCTTTCTCCCATGTGGGTTTTTCTAATTATACGGTTCTTCAGTTTTATCTGCTGTGAAATTACCTTCCACTGTATGATGGAATTAAAGCATTATGATTTGTGTCATAATTACAAAAGCTCTAAGATGGTCATAATCACCTTCTGAGTCCAATATGGCAGAAATCATACTTGAAATGTGCTTGGAACCAGAGCCGGATTTAGACTTGATAAGACCTAAGCTGTATGAGATACCTACGAGGCCCTTTATAAGTCTAGATATTATATGTCAGTGCCAAATATGGTTTTCAGACACCTAGAAAATTTTTTTGGGGGCCCCCAAGAAAGCGGGGACTTTAAGCTATAGCTTGTGTAGTTTATATGTAAATCCTGCACTGCTTGGCACTCAAAGTGTTAATATACATAACATCTCTTTCAGTTTTCCTTTTAATCTTCCTATTTATTTTGAAGAGGGAAGTAGTAACACATCAAAAAGTTCTTTTAAATGCTTGTTTTCAAATGTGACATTTCACGTACAGAGAAGACAGACATCTTTAAAAAGAAAGGTTGATTTAATTTTTTTTTTTGGCCGTAATTCCACAAATTTCAGGCTTTGTTGACAAGTTCATCCTTCCTTGAATATAAAGATGAAAACAAAGGAACTAGCTATCATCAAAAAAGGAACCTAAAAAGACAAATACAGGTGATCAATATACATTATATATATGAAAATTTATTTATATATAAATATGCAGATATTTAATTCACTTTTAGTTCAGTAAAAACTACTCGAAGCAAGCATTTAGAGAGTTAAAAAAATGTTATACAGTTTGCATTTCCTAATAATAAAACTGAATGTTATGTCTATAACATGCATCTTAGTTTTATAAAATACTAATGATGGCAAAGGAAAGAGCTCTGATGATGGCTCATTAAAACAGGATGATGAAAGCAATGCACCTTATTTTTGAGCTAAGCAACATGTATTTGAGTCAAATGAATATATGGTATGCATCAATGGTTTGAATTTACAATAAAGACTTATTTAAGAGTTTTTTAAAGTATTATTACTACTTTTTGATTATTTTAAAACTGAATTTATACATAAATTAATATATAATATTTATATATTCACTCGAGGTAAACTGTTCCAAATTTGTGAAAAAAATTACATGCTGGCAAAACAGGCAACAAATATTATGAATAACATTCTTTACAAAATTTTGATATTTTTGATGACAAGTTTATTGGCAGTATATTTGGAATCAAACCTGCAGCTTCTATGTATTTATATCAGTTTTATAGATATATAAAATATCTGCTTTCACATTCTGAGACACACAGGTTTTTGGATTCATCATGAAGACCTGTAGCAGGTTGTTAAAACAGGCTTTATTAGCTAAACAGGCTTTATTTACTTATTTTAGTCTCTATTTTCATACACCTACATTTATAAAGATGCCATTTACATAAAAAAAAATTAAAAAGAATACCTTAAATTATAAGCTAAGAGACATACACCAAGTGACAAAAAATCTCATTACTGGATAAAGCTGATCATGGTGCTCAGAGGGTTGAAAAGGATTAATTAATTTAGAAATTGTAATAGTAGCATAAACATTTCTAAATTAATTAATCCTTTTCAACCCTCTGAGCACCATGATCAGCTTTATCCAGTAATGAGATTTTTTGTCACTTGGTGTAGGTCTCTTAGCTTATAATTTAAGATATTTTGTTTTCTTACTTTTTTTATGATATTATACTATTACAATTAATAAAAGAAATTTCTGATACTACTAAGCTGATCCAAAAAGTAAGTACCATTTGCACATATCTCCTCTGCATTTCACAGCTCAACAGTCATGCATGCATAGTTACATCATTCAGCATGAGCATAAATTAGCCTAACTTTTGTTTGTTTACATTAATGCCCGGAGTCATTGTTTGTCGGCAATCTATGTTTAAAACAATTGATCAGCTTGCCAGCTGTTTAATAAGAACCATTACCATCATGTTCTCTCCATATATATATATATATACAATAATCTCATCAAAGTGTGTTAGAATGTTTAACGAAGGAAGTGATGAGGACCATTGTGGATGCCCATCACTAATAATGGAAGAACTGGTGCACTGCTTCAACACAAAAGTTCATTCCAATAGGCAATACATAATTTCTGATTTGCAAATGCATTTTCAAAACATTTCATGATCTTTACTACATGAAATTGTGATTGAATATTTGCACTACAAAAAATGTGTACGAGATAAGTACCAAAAACACTAATGTACATTCAAAAATGGAAATACATTAGAGTAGTCTTGGAGTTTTTGAAGCTTTATACAACAGAAGGAAGCAATTTTCTTAAAAGTATTATCACAGGCAATGACACATGGATTTGTTATGAGACAATGACAGCCACTGGAGTGGTAGCATACTGTTACCGTTTCTTTGAAACCCAAGAAAACAAAGCCATTTCTTTCTTCACGAAAAGTCTTGTGCACCATGGTTTTGGGTTGTCAAGGAATTCTGTTAGTGGACTTGCTGGAACGTGGCATGATATCATATTGGTTTCCTGAAACCCCAAAAAGCTAAGCCACCTCTTTCTTCAAGAAAAATCATATCACCATGTTTTAGGACTGTCAAGGAATTTTGTTAGTGAACTGGATGGAACAAGGAATAACAATGAATGCTACAGTGTACTGTGAGACACTGAAGAAGTTACAGCACACGATACAAAATGAAAGGCATGGACTACTGACTGCATGGCAAGGTATGTGGTTGCATGACAATATGCAACCACATACCACATGTGTAATGACGGTGCTGCTTGATTCATTTCACTGGGAACAATTCTGTTGCCCTCCTTATAGTCTGAACTTAGTTCTACCCGATTTCCATTTGCTTTCTCATCTCGCAAGTGATGATGAGATCAAGGTCAACATCCATAACTAGTTCAAGTCACAGGAATTTTATAAAGTTGGTATGCTGTAGTTAGTCCAAGATATGACACACGCCTTAATTCGAATGGTGAATATCTCAAAAAGTAGTTTAAGATGTGTAAATTTTTCTGTAATAAAACACAAATGAGTACATATTGGTAATATTTTTAATACCTAAACTGTACTTACTTTTTGAATGAGCTTTATATATACCATATACTTCAGCCAAAATTTTTCTTTAAATTTTTTATCTGCACATTAACATCTGTGTTAAAAATAAATCTAATATAATAAAATTCTATGTTTCTGTAAAGATTATAATAAATGTTTCTATCTCTTTTATAATTTTAATTCTATTATACAGAGTTTGATTAGGTGGTAATAATTAGTATATTTCATATTTAAAAAGAAGTGAAACATTTGATTTTTTAAAAAATTTGTTTCTATATATTTCAGGATCTCAGCTCTTATAACTTAAATTATGCATTATAAATAAATATATGTTTTACATTACACTTAAAACTTATTTTGGTTCTTTGATGCATTTGTGTTTTTCAAATAGCAAAAATACCAGTTTTTAAAACGGTTCAAATATTAAAACATTATTTTTTTAAAATTATTATACATTCATATGTACAAAATAATTGTAATACACATTATGCAACAAGCTGTAGCTACTTTTGCTAATTCAAAAAATTTTGTCATGGATATTTTTTTATTGGTTTCAAATGTATGAATGGGCAGGTAACTGGGAAAAAGAGATAGTTCAATAAATGACAAAATCTTATCTGATAACTTCAAATCTGATGCAGAGACTTGGCAGCATTAATAATAATAATGAAAATAATAAAAGCAGGATGCACTGAAATTTTTAAATTCTGTAGCACGTAAATTAATTATTCAATACAATTACAGCTAAGAGCAAACATATGCACCAATAATTTTTTTATAATGTGCAACAATAAATATAAATTAATGTTAACCATAAATAGGTAATAAATTAATGCATTGTACAAACTCAGACAATAAAAATTAATTTTGATGAAATCAGTATTCCAGCAATTCATGCTATTAGTTAAGGCATTAAACATAAACCTGATATTTTCCTTTAGCCACGTAGTTAGTAAGTTTTTCAGTAACACACAAAGAGATTTCACATTCTGAAGTTAAGAGATGTAAGGAACAATTAGATTTCATGAAACTATTGTACCAAACTGCATATACAATTTAACATCACAGTTTCTTCATAAAATATTTAAATGCAATACAGTTACATGCAGCAAACCTAAAAGAAAATTTCACAGTACCTTCTCAGAATTCCAATGTTGAATGTAATCTTGAAAGTGCTTCATTACAAAAAAGCATTAAAAATAGAACTTCTTTGAAAACATTTTCAATTAATACAGTAATTTGGAATAGAATGTAACTCAAAATTTTTATAAATTAGTAAATTTTTAATCATTTTTCTTGTTTTGTTATCCAACAATAATAGAACTACAATGGCAATTAAAACTGATAGAGATGATGAATTCTGTGACATGTATAACTTTTTCTTTTCCCATATTTTATGACTAATAATTAATAATATCTCATTTGACTTTTCCCCTCTTAAATAATGTCCTTAATAAATAGCACTGAAACTTAAAGAAGACTCGTTTTGAGACAGAAAAGTCTTAATCCTTCAGTTTAATCTTAACTTTAAATAAAATACAGTCCTGTTTAAGATTCAGAGTAATATAGGACGGATTCTTGCATTATTGTGTAGTCCTGCATTATCATTACATGATATCAACAGATGCCATAATGACTAAGACATTACTAAGAAATTCACTAATCATATATTTTCTTTAAAGTTGACAGTTTTCACTAATGGATATTCTTCTTTACTGGGACAGTTCCTGAAACCTCGGCTCCTTGAAATAGTATTTAATGAAGTCATGCTTGAATGCATTTCCATTTAGTAGGTCTTGTGAATGCTTAAGTCTGTATTAACATTCTCTGAACTTTTGTAATTATATAACTTGAAAATCCTTTCTTTATTGATACCCTTTTTACACATTTTCAATTCAGATTTAAACACATTTCACAGGAAAAACTATTAGTTTAAATTTTATTTTATTAAAAAGGGTAGATATAATATTGAATTAAAAGCATAGGTAAGAATTTTTGATTTGATTTAAAAGGATATCTATAACACTAGATAACAATGTAACTTTCTTCCTCCCTCAGTGTGTGTTGTCCTCCAAAGCAGTCATGCATTTTCATAATACTTTTTTTAAACACAAGGTTGCAATGTAAAATTAATGAATAGTAATTCTTATTCTTAGAATGCTTACTTTTCTAATTTTGAAAAAATAAAAATGCAAGTTTGAAAAATGCTCATCACACATTAATTAAAAAAAAAAAAAAAATATTTGTGTGTTTGCAAACGTATCTCATTTAGTAAGTAGCAATAGTTTTTAAAATTTTACTTTTCTGAGAGATAAATTTTATGAAATATTCAAAAAGGAGCTTATATGAATATAATTATATTAAATCTTTCAACTAATTTATGTACCCTTCAAATTATATGCTATAATAAATATATAACTCGAATGAAATTAAATTACCTATAAATTTTGATAATCAAATATTTTCATCATTACCCCCTCTTTTATATTCAAGTATTCATGAGATACAAGAAAACTCCAACTATACTAATTTTATATGCATGATAATAGTTGATATGACTTAGTAAAATGA